CACACACACACCGTACACGCACAACGACACCGCCTTTGTCAACACGACACACATACACATACACATACTCGCATTCCTACTCTGTACATAAATACGACAAATAAATATCTTTCTTTTACATCGATCCAAGCCGCGTTTCATTGCGATATTACCGCCTTGTCTCTCTCCTCCTGGCCGAGCCTCTTTGCGACCCTGGCCGCAGCCCGTGACCGACGAGCTACGTCCGCGCAAAGTCAGGTTGTTTCAAATTGATAAAATTTTTGTCATCTAATCCATCGATAGTATCATTTACTACTATACAGCCCCTTCAAAATCCATTTTGGACCGTCCCAAAGCGATTTTTTTTCGGAGATATAGCAATTCGAATTTCGATAAATTGTATCTCGTAGACGCCTAATCTGTAAGGCAAAGTTGGTGACTCCCCGGCCAATGAAGACAAGGTGGTCCCCGGCCAATGAAGGCAAGGTGGATGACTCCCCGGCCAATGAAGGCAAGGTGGATGACTCTCCGGCCAATGAAGGCCGGTATAGAGATTAGGCTTCTGCGAGATACAATTTATCAAAATTCGAATTGCTATATCTCCGGAAAAAAATCGCTTTGGGACAGTCCAAAATGGATTTTGAAGGGGCTGTATAATAGTAAATGATACCATCGATGGATTAAACGACAAAAATTTTATCAATTTTTAATTGAATTTTAAATATGGCTGAAAATGGCTTATTTGGCTGTTTTGGATTAAGATTTCTCGAAATCTCGACGTGATAGAGCAATTCTGCAGCCGGATTCGGATTCAGCGCGAAAAATTACGTAAGAAAACATAGTTAATCTCTGCGTAATCACACAAACATTTTGTGTCAAAAATGTTTGTCTTTGTGTAACTACACAGAGATTATCTCGGTGAAAAAAAAACGTACGGCGTTAAAAAATATATATTTTGAAGATAAATGTTGATACTTTCAGATGGCGTAAACGAAAGTAGAAAAAAAAATTTACTTCGCTAGCAAAAAAATCACAAATATGTCAAAAAACTTCAATTTGGACACATTTAACCTCACTTTTCTCAAAAACCTGACGTGATAGAGCAATTCTGCCGCCGGATTCGGATTTAGCGCGAAAAATTACGTAAGAAAACATAGTTAAATCCCAATCAACTTTCAACACCTCCAATTTTGCAGGCCTGTGTTATTAAAACTTTATGATTCCAATCATGGTGTACATTTTCTTATCGTCAATTCGGAGATAAAATTATCTAACCAATTATTATAATCTTAGTCAAAATTCAATGTTAAAAAATGCACACTCCTACTCGTGATACAAATAACCATCAAATTATACCTTTATCTCCCGCTCGAATAACCGATAGCTTTAGTATTATCACATTTTTCAACCAACATCTCCGATAGCAATAATTTAAACCACCAAAACTGCCAAATTTTATTGACATATAATGCATTTAATCTTGTAATAGAATAATAGGATATTAGAATAACTGTGAATTACCTCTGTGTGTGCGTGCGTGCGCGCGCGCGTGTGTATGTGTAACAATTACTATCCTTAACGTTAGTTGTGCGTGCGTGCGTGCGTGCGTGCGTGCGTGCGTGTGTGTGTGTGTGTGTGTGTGTGTAACAATTACTATCCTTAACGTTAGTATCCACAAATGAACACGTTTTATACTAATTTTTCAATTCCGTATCTTTCTCGATGACTAGAAAGCGTGAATCACCACGAGAGACAACACAATACTAACGACCTTCCTCAATTTAAATGTATGTAACGATATTCCTACCTCTCCCCACTTACTCAAATGATGTAACGTCCGGTGCGCTACAATATAGCACCCCGTTCGTTTACCAAGCGAACGCGAGCACGGGGTATAGCGAACGATACAATACGTGCTGCGAAAGCCTATAGGACATGCTACCGCAGCCGTTGCTAACGAACGCTGCGCGAACAGCGCCTGCGTGACTTATAAAATAGGAAAATTAATAGAAAAATGCGCTGGAGCACGTAGATAACACCGCCAAAAGACGGGAAACAACGAACATCATAACTAGCAACCAAATAATCGCGAGGAAATAGTGCCGATCCACCAAGAACAAGTAAAAACGCATAATCACTTGCAAAATGCATAGCGATGCAACGCGAAACGCGCGCATCGATCGCGAAGGCCTCAAAAAGCAAAAAATAGCTATCGCGAATTAAATAAGGGCACGGATAACGAAATGAAAGCCTTAAACAAACAAAGGCGAATTCACGAACGCTTCGGAAGAAGGAAACAAAGATACGCGGAAAAGCGAAATGAAAAAACGCGCAAAGGAATGCACACTAGCTACGCCGCGACCGAGTGCATCACGCGCCAACCAAGAGCACTCCTATGAATATTGCGAACCCCGCTAAAAATAAGAACAACCGAAAGAACGAAAAAACACACAGTAATTAAATAAATCGCAATACAAGAATTAGAACATTCGAGAGAATTTCGCAACAACACGTGTGCGAAAAACTCCTTTACCGCGAGGGGTCACGATACAAAATATATATAAGGCGAGACGATTTACAGCAAAGCATCTTACTCTTCCTTCTAAGCACAGTCGAGGTAAGATACCTGGAGCGCTTAAATTGAACGTGGCTGCTTCCTTTTGCCCGAGGACCCCCTCACGGCGCTTACGATCAAGCGTAGGGGACATCCTCTTCGCCTACCTTACTCCAGCCTTTACCGAGCGCCTCCCCAGGCGAGGAAGGCTATCCTCTATCCCCTTGGACGACCGCGCTTCAACGGGAGCGTTGTCATCCAAGCATATTCCTCGTGGAAGCTCTAACAAGCGCTTTAACCGGCGTCGAGGATTCCACTCCTCCCCACCAAGCACTCACTCTTCGTCTTTTCTTTCTCGGGTATATAGATGCCCAAGAGGAAGCGCGTCAGAAGCAAGAGGGAAGAGTGGCGGGTGCACCTTCGCGCCCTTAAAAAGGCACTCCACGAGTCCGGGGAGTTTGACCCCGCCAGATACTGGGCCAAGGCCCGCTCCACCGCCGACGACAACGCCGCGTGCCCGCCGGAACCGAGGGAACCACCTCGCTCCACCGCGGAGCCGCAGCCTCCAAAGGAGCCTACGCGTCCTCCGCCACCGAGACCGCGATCTCCACCACATGTGGCCCCAGTCAGAAAGCCAACGAGGCCCATTCTAGTTACATCGTGGCCCACCGTAACAACCATAACGCCTTGCAATATTCGTATTAAAATCATAAATCCATACTCAGTTGTATTTTCTCTTGCACCCTTCCTGTTCTTCCCGACCTATCGGAGAGCGTAGATAGAGAAACATGCGAAATGAAGTCAGTTGACGCATCCTCTAAACTCTCCACATTATTTTGTCGGAAGACCACGGAGGAATAATCATTTAAATCTCTCGTCATTAATTACATTCTTTCCGAATTTCGTGCTCGCTTCTGAGCACTGGTGACAGCTGCCGATTCCCAGTACTGATAAACGCGTCAAAACACCGCGTTGAAGCTAAGGCTTCGCCCCGCGCGCCCCGCTCCGCGTTCACGTTCCCTCCGAGTTATGCCGCGTCTCGTGACCGCGAAAGTCTCGTGCTCAGGACGTAACAATGTGTTCTTCCGTTTTATTAGTGGCATGTAAATCTCTGGGAATTTCTCCGTGTCAGTTTGCCTGTTAACATGTTCATTTGGATACTAACGTTAAGGATAGTAATTGTTACACATACACACGCGCGCGCGCACACACACACACACAGAGGTAATTCACAGTTATTCTAATATCCTATTATTCTATTACAAGATTAAATGCATTATATGTCAATAAAATTTGGCAATTTTGGTGGTTCAAATTATTGCTATCGGAAATGTTGGTTGAAAAATGTGATAATACTAAAGTTATCGGTTATTCGAGCGGGAGATAAAGGTATAATTTGATGGTTATTTGTATCACGAGTAGGAGTGCATTTTTTAACATTGAATTTTGATGAAGATTATAATAATTGTTTAGATAATTTTATCTCCGAATTGACGATAAGAAAATGTACACCATGATTGGAATCATATAGTTTTAATAATTGATATCCTATAACATCGTTTATAATTAAAGTTTTTCATCTCTTGACGATTATGCCATCAAAGGAATGTTACTCCAATTGTAGAAATCATAGCGGCTTTTATTGATTAACATAATAATAATTCTTCGCAGAACAAAAATTGTATATGATAATTGTATTCTTTGTATAACGATTGTATAACGATTGGATAGGGTTGTGATTAACAGGATTATGACATTGATAATGATCTGACGACAGATCGAAACGTTTGTCTTAGAATTTATGTAAACGAAAAGAATTAAAGTTCGTATTTTCACCAGGTGTACGTGGAATAAGCTATTGTAATATATGTTATAATTAAATAAAAATTTTCGTTAGGTGCTTCGAGGCATCAATGGACTACAGAGTAAACGAAATTGCTACTATTTTTATTTCGTCATTTAAGTAAAGAAAAAATGACACACAACCGTCTTTGGAATCAAATATCAGCAGGAATGAAAGAGAAAGGTTATGCTCTTACTGCATCACAATGTAGTACAAAAATGGACAGTTTAAAAAAAGCTTATAAGAAATGTTGTGATCATAATCGCCAAACTGGAAAAGCACCAAAAAAAAATCGAACATTATGATGTAAATACAATAGATATATAATAATTGTTATATTATTGACATTTTCATTTATTTCATTACATTTTTATTATTTAGATTTTATGTGAAATATTCGCTAAAACGTCATGGATGCAGCCTTTGTTTACTGTTGGATCCAGCAAGCCTGTTGGGCATCATTTAGATGAAGAACCATCATTGTCTTCAGGTTAATAATGTTTTTCTTCATTTAATAAAAATGAATAACCTACATTTTATATAACAAACTTTTCAGGAAGTTTAAAACGTGGCAACATAAATAAGGACGATTATATGATACAAATTTTGCAAATAAAAAAGCAAAAGTTGGAGATTGACAAAAAATATAAAGGAGACAAACTGGCAATTCTCAGAGGTATTAAAAAAAACTGTAATTTAATTTAAAGAAAGAAATATTTTGTTGTTTCATTTTTAGATATTTAATCGTTTTGTGACTTAACTTTGTTCTCATATTCTTTGCCAATAATTTACGTTCACCAAAGAACAATGATACTCATTTTGACATACAATAAGTATAGTATAAATATATTAAGAAATACATTTTTTTGTTTGTATACATATATTTACCATAAAAGAAGCTATCGTTTTGTTGATATTTTAAATAAATCCTAAGCAAAATGAAATTATTTTTATATTAGCTTAGACAGTGTAATACATAGAACAGAAATAAAAATTTATGATATTATACAAACGCAATTGTCAGTTAAATTTACACAAGAGAATTTTTTATTTGCTGTCTTTTGATAATTCCTTCTTGTTGTTGTTCTGGAGTAACAGTTAAAGGTCCAGCATCTTCCACAATCTCGTTTGGAAAAATAACTGGATCAATCTCATCTCTTGCATGAGACAAATATTATGGAGAATACAGCAAGCAATAATATAGTAGAGGATGAGATCTGTCCTTCGCATCGGCAATTTGTCTAATAAATATCTCCATCGTCCTTTTAAAAGACCTATAGACTGTTCCACGAACATTCTGCTTCTAGATAGAACATAATTATAATTGATTTCGTCAACTGTTAGATGTCCATTGTCTTTATATGGCACTATAATAGATTTTTGCAGAGTATAAGCTAAATCGCTTATGAGGTGTTTATTATCAAAAAAATTGTTATTGCATTTTTGTTGTAATCCAGAATATTTAAACACTCTCATATCATGCACTGATTCTGGCATTCCAGCGTAGCAGTGGATAAACTCTTTCTTTTCATTGCAAACAACCTATAAACAAGAGCAGTATTGTATAGTGTTTCTTAATAGAATCGACATGAAAATCTAGTATTTTATAATGTGTTATATACCTGTAACTGTATAGAATGATGTCCTTTCCGGTTGATATAAGCAAGCGCATTTTCTTTTGGAGCTGCAATTGTAATGTGTGTTCCATCCACAATTCCAATTACACTAGGAAAATTATATTTTCTTTCTATATATGTACTAGTGATTTCTGCTTCCTCAAATGTCGGCCAATGAATAAAATAGTTCCAAAAATAACACAGAGCTTTTACTACTCTTTTTACAACTCGCCAAGCTGTAGCATTTCCTACATCAAACTTGGTTACAATAGATCTATACAGGGTGGTTCAGACCACCCGGAGATGCCGATACGTACGTATTCCTCATGAAAAACTGAGTGGAAAATGTCAATAGCAAAATGTTGTGGGGTCAATAGTTTTTAAATAGCGAGTCTTTGAAATCTTCCAATTACAGGACGTAAAGTTCGTGCCGTCAGGTGCGGTACAACCAAGCGCCGACCGCGCGAGCGCTTTGATGGATACCGTTAAACCACGCGATGCCGAATGAGTGCAAAAGTTTTGAAATCTTTATTAACGTCTACTGCTGTATGTTTAAATTGAGTCTAATTTAATTGACGAGAAGTAATGTCGCAATTGCAAATTCGATTATCAGTAAACATCATTTATATCAATAAAAAAGTATGTATTTTTCAAACATTTTAAATAATAAACAAAGTAATGAATAAAATCAATATTAATTAAATTATTTAAATAAATAATATTAAAAACATCAATCGACAAACATTTCCAAAATTGGTTTACAAAAAGTTCTGTTATAAACAATATTAGAGAAAATGTACATTTGAAAATTCGCATTCGATATAAGTAACTGTTTCATATTTAAGGAATGAAATGAACACACGAAATTCCGAATTACAATATGAAAGGAAAGGGAAGTATTACAGTGAAGGAATCGAAGTAAGCAAATAAGAAGCTGTTGTTATAAAAAATCGTATTTTTAATAATGTTTTAAACATTTTTATAGCAAGTGCTCGAAATGGCCACCACCATTTTATTCATTAATTTGTTTATTATTTAAAATGTTTGAAAAATACATACTTTTTTATTGATATAAATGATGTTTGCTGATAATCGAATTTGCAATTGCGATATTACTTCTCGTCAATTAAATTAGACTCAATTTAAACATACAGCAGTAGACGTTAATAAAGATTTCAAAACTTTTGCAATACTCAATCGGCATCGTGTGGTTTAGCAGTATCCATCAAAGCGCTCGCACGGCCGGCGCCTGGTTGCGCCGCACCTGACGGCACAAACTTTACGTCCTGTGATTGGAAGATTTCAAAAGCTCACTATTTAAAAACTATTGACCCCACAACATTTTGTTATTGACATTTTCGACTCAGTTTTTCATGAGGAATACGTACGTACCGGCATCTCCGGGTGGTCTGAATCACCCTGTATAAATAAAAATGATAAATAAATAATTATAAACAATTTATTGGCTATCCGAACAAAGTTAAAATAAATTGGATAAAAGAGCATAAAAGCCAATTCGTAAGATATACGTGCAAGTGTATGTTAAATAATTTCTTCGTGAATATACATATACAAACAAGATGATGTATACGAGTCGATCTTATATTAGGTGGATGGCACCCAGTTGGACACGGCTCAATTGGACACGAGCCACTCACAGTGCTTGAGACTACAAACCTCCTAAGCACCAGTCGCTGTGATTGGTGGTGTCCAATCGAGACGTGGTCAATCGGGATCACCCCATATTAGGTCATCTTCAGAACTTACATAAATTTTTGAATTTGTAACGGCGCTGGTAAAATCTCAATATAAAAATAACTTGAAATAAAGGGCATACACCACAATGCAAGTTTTTGGTAGCGAGATAAAAATTTTATTTTGAATATCTGTGATAATAAGATATAGACATTTCGGCCTCGATCAGGCTGTTGTACCTCTCCGGGTGCAAGGATGCCGCTCAGGGCACCGTTTGTAGAATTTACGGGTCAGCCAGTTACCTG